CCGAGCACAGTCGGTGGAAAATAACATAATAAGAAGATTCATGCATCATGAAAACTAAAATATTCGAGTATTTTGTCGAAAACGGGGTACAACCTTAGACATGACATCCGATTGAAAGAGTGTGAGCTATTGTCAAGATGGTGACAGACGAGAGAACATACGGATTCAAAGTCTGTTTGAAAAAAAATGCGTGGCAGAGAAAAATAAAAAACGAGCATAGTCGGTAAACAATAACATAATAAGATTCATGCACCATGAAAACAAAATATCCAAATATTTTGTCGAAAATGGGGTACAGACTGAATATAACATGTACAGAAACATTACTGCCGTCTGAAACTAACTTTTAATTTTATTCAATTAATTAGTGACATCGCATGGAAGTAAATATGAAGTCATGGTTTACTTGCTCATCATAATATTCCAGCCCTGCTTACGTTGGGCATACGGCGTTTGACATTGGTGTTACTATACTACTATACTGTCTATGGTTAAACAGGGCCCAAATTGATAGGGAGTAAAACACAAAAGTGGAAGAGCTGTCCATGCATTGACCAATCACACAAGAGCTCAGAAACACCAACGAAATATTTGTTGTTGTACTTAACAAAGGGGTTTGGCACTAAAAACAATGGAACGTTTATAGGCTTAACGTTGGATTTAGATCGTGTTATAATCCAAATCCCCTACTAAGACTTGTAAGCACCAATTTTCATATGTATGCAGAGACCTAATTAGTTTTAATTGGATATTAATTACCTAATTTGCATAATGTTCCACTGATATATAAAGAACCACGAATTGGATTTTAATGAAACTTTTAAAGAGAACTATGCAGAGACCTAATTAGTTTTTGGTAAATATTTATGCTTATTAATCACCTAATTAACATACTTAACACTGATATCGCAATTACTGATCATCACATTTGAATAAAATTTGGTACATAAATGATCTAGGACAATTGACAGGCCTGATTAATTTTGGGTTAATGTTCGTTCATATTAATTCTCTAATTAGCATAATAATTCATAATTTTGGTGTTCTGTTCTGTTCATATTAGTTAGCTGATTTACATAATTAGTTTTCAGCTTTTCCATCAATATCTCATGTACAAGTAATTTTGAATTAATTTTTAATGTGTCTTCAATACTCTCAGCACACGGGAGTTCTTTCTAAGCTTTCTTTGATTTATTATTGTTATTTGATGCCATGCTGAAGGCTGAATTTGGGTTTAATTCATTGTATTAAAACTATAAATTCAGAAGCAGCAGTGATGAAAAATTCAAAACACTAATATGCTTGTACAGTGATTATTATTGTACAATCCAAAACAAACAGTGCACATGCATATTAGATAATGTCAATAAAAATTGGATATTCTCATTTATAATTACATCTTTAACATCATTAAAAAAAACTAACTGCAGCAAAACTACTGTAAAGGGGGTAATTATTCACTGGGTTTTAATTTAGCTTATTTCGCTGTCTGGAAAATGCGCTAAATTAAAACCGAGTGAATATGTAAAATTTAGCATAGAACACGTTATCTAAATGACAAAACCGTGAATTTAAAACCCACTGAATATGCCTGAAATGGTAAATCAGTGAAATTTAAACCCAGTGAAAATTAGTCATTTTACAGTATGCTCTACAGATCTATTAATACAAGCACATAAGTAATTTCTACCCGCAGTAGTATTAATATTAAAATAAATTAAAATTAAAATTTGCTGTATTAATGACTATTTTTATTGTTACTTTTCAGAAACCTGACACAACATTCAGAGTATTTGATAGAACAGTAAGTATTAAGCCAAGGTGTTTATTTTTGCTGATTTTTTATAAGTTGAATGTAAAATATAGAAAAAAAGGTTATTCACTAGATTTAATTCTAACTGAATCATCTTTCAGCAAAAATAGCGAAACAAATTCCAAGCGAAAATAAAATACGTACTTTACAGTAACAGAATTGTATTTTCAGTCTGTCATAAATTTCTCTAAAATCTTTTCTTAGAATAACATCGTACAATTTAAATACACTTTCTAGGAATATTACACTTGCCATGGATCGGATGCTGTATTTGCTGCAAAAGAAGTCTTTAAAACAACTGGCGTTATCAAATATCTCGGAACAGGTGTGTGTGGTGTGATTTTGAGAATGGTTTCTCAAATTGCATTTTTTTTTTGTGAATTTTAAAATTTTCCCTTTCAAAATTTGTGATTGTATGAACAAAGAATAAATCACAGTAAACTAGAAGAAGTGATATTCAATACAGAATAACTTGAAGCTGAAAAAAACAAAACTTGTGTGTTCTGATAACCGAACCTTGCCTGCATTTTGCATGCTGACCTGCCTTTTCATGGCTAAACTGGAAAGTTGTCACTAGAGGGTGCTCACTTCCTGTTTCTAGCTACTTGGCATCCTATCTTGTCAGGTATAATGAAAATTTCATTTGCGAAATGCTCCAAAATATACAGAAGCATCTTCATGGCAAAAAAAAAAATTATACCCATTTTACCCTATTTCCATTTTTGATGTCACTAGACATAAACTTACCAGTAGTACATGTATAGTGTACTATAAAATTCTAACATGTGAATACTGAATAGAAAAACTGTTCTTTGCTGAAAATACTATAGTTTTGTTTCTCATATTAACAAAAAATTATTCTAAAATACTAGTTTTTAACATAAATTATTTTGTTTAAACTCAGTCATGTTTATAAAAGTATCGCTTATTGTTTTTTAGATTTTGCTCTGAAAAACAGGGCATCATTGCACATCAGTTTAACATTTTTGCATCGCTGCTTTTTGTAATGTTTTAAAATTAATATTTTTAAAAGAAAAACATGCCAAATTGATCAGAAACTTTTTCTTACTTTTTTTGGCCTTTGCGAGAAAATCCTAAATTATCTTCTGGTATTTGGTATAATGTTTAACACCACACTAACACTGATACAGTACAGAGGAGTAAATAACTATGATGTGTGCAGTGTAACAGTACAGTATTTAAAATCATGAAACCAGTGAGACAAAGAAATTACCACCAGTGGAAACCAGTGAGACTAAATACAAATTAAATATAACTGAGTTTGTAGTTTAGTTTTCTTTACCTTGTTTTCTCACTTGATAGGAACAAAAAAGGTGGAATCTGTGGTTCTCAGTAAAATGAACTTTGAATCGCTAGTCAAGGATTTGTTGCTTGTGCGACAGTACAGAGTAGAAGTGTATAAAAACAAGGGCGGAGGAAAGAATAATGACTGGACCTTGGAATTTAAGGTAAAGTTAAGAAGCCCTCCAGATTGTTTTCTGAGGCTTTATTCTGTTTAGCACTGAAAGCAGTCTTGGATTATTGTATTTGCTTTATTCACAAGTGCATCTCCAATAAAAATACTCTCAAAACAAAACAATTAGATTTTATCGTTGGAACCCACACATGTTTTAGTTTATATTTAGTTTAGTTTTGTTATATTTTTGGATACAATCTATAGTGTTCAGCCAATCGCATGGTTTACTGCTCAAATTTTGTTATTGTTACAATCTGTCACTTTCTGGTTGTGCCACCATCTTGTTATCTCTTGGCGAGTCCGAAATAAAACTATCGAATGATTAACATATTCTCAGGACTGAATGATATTCCTGAATCGACCGTAGACGTTCCTAAATAGATTGTGGCTATCCCCACAGATTTCATGTTTACTGGATTATAAACAAATATGACTTTTTTATTTGACCATATACACAATATATACATGTTGTCGTGTACATAAGTATATGCACTGCTAAGAGAACAAATACGGTATACACTTGTTAGTTCCCGTTCGTCGAAGTCCGAAAACGGGGACTTATAATTCGGTCTCCGTGCGTCTGTGCATCCGTCCGGAGAATCAGAATCAGAATCCCTTGGACCGATTACGACAAGCCCTCGGCTTTAATAGGAGAGCACAAAGAGAACTTTCAAAAATTTAACGGGGACTATGCCCCGTTGTACCCATTATCAATGACTTGTGACATGCATAGGTTCACAGTCAATTCAGAACAAAGACAATTCTGAAGGAATCATATATTTGCCACAATTTGTGCATAATGCAGAAGTCTAAGAAGTATTAGAGCAGCAAAATTAACATACTTGCTTCTAAATTCAAGGACAACTTAACTAAACAGATTTGAATATTTTCCTTCTTTCTGTCAAAACCATTTACTACTACCTGCAAAAAAAAAATGTTTTACAAAAGTTTAGGTGATTTTACATGACCAACAAGAATACAATCTGTTTATGTTGGTAGGCCATCTGCTTAGACAAAACCAAATTTGTCAGCGAATAATTTGAGCAAGTTTGCTAACTTGCTGTTCTATTACTTAGTGTCACATAATAGACCCCTATGTTGATAATCACAGAATACAACTGTATTTTGACCTGGTCGCAAATAAAAAAAAAAAATAGCAATATAATATCAATTTCAGGCAGATACGAACATGCAACTATCAAGATTTGTACTTGTGATAAAACATGACTGCAGAAAATGTGCCCTGTCATCAAAAGCAGATGTTCTCCCTGTTAAAGACTGCCCTCTTTTCAATATTGTTGGGAGTTTGATAGGATTTTTGAGCTTGATAAATTTTCTTAGATGCTCTATAGGGCGATATTGTATTGATATGTACTTGTTTCACAATTGTGAAAAACATTTTCAATCAGATTCTGTATGAAAGAATATCATGAAATATTGAACTGTTTAATTTTTTTTAATCCTATGAGATTTCTATGCTTATAAAGTATTGCAAATCAGACAGAAAATGAAATTATCCCCAATAAACAAGATGATTATGAAATCGCTTCCCAGTTTTACTTAAAGAATACTATTAACAAATTTCTTATTTAACTACACATTTGTAATTTATGCAAATATATGCACTTTTAAGTGTCGATTTCTATGCTACATGAACAGTTATAAAATCCAATCATGTGACTGTATTGTAGGCGTCGCCAGGTAACCTGACTCAGTTTGAAGAGATTCTGTTTGGTGCTAATGATATGTCAACATCGGCTTGTGTGCTGGCTGTTAAAATGGCAATGGATGGTGGACACAAAATTATTGGTGCAGCCTTTGCCGATGCCACACTGAGGAAAATGGGTGTCTGTGAGTTCCCTGATAATGATCAGTTCTCAAATTTAGAGGTACATATTGAATTTGATTTTCTGAGTATTTGCATAATATTTGCATAATATTTGCATGTCATTTACATAGTACTTGCATAGTATTTGAATATTATTTGCATGTCATTTACATAGTACTTGCATAGTATTTGAATATTATTTGCATGTTTGCATATTATTTGTTTTATAACACCTGCCACAAAGGTGGTGCTGTTTGTACTGAAATTTTAATACATATTGTTCTTGTGTACATTATTTTACCATAGGCTTTGGTAGTACAGATTGGACCGAAAGAGTGTATACTGCCCTCTGGTGACAGCGGACCTGAAATGAACAAACTGAAACAGATCCTCGAAAGAAGTGGTTTATTGATAACAGATCGGAAAAAGTGTGAGTGTTTTTTTTCAGTGCAGTGAGGTGTTCTTAACAGAGATGACCCAATGATAAATCGTACTTCCGTTATACAATGATATTTTGAACAGATGAACTAATGACGTTGACAGCCAGGCTATGAAAACATTATTTTCTGTTCAGTGTGGCAGTTTACTAATTTGCATAAACAAAATTTTCACGACCAATCAACTTTCCTTATGTATTTATTTTTCCATAGCTGATTACAATACTAAGGACAATGTGCAAGATTTGAATAGATTACTAAAGTTCAAAAAAGAAGACCAGGCTAATAGCAGTGCACTTGGTAAGTCTTATCAGAGGTACATTACTTGGGGTTTGCAACTACGGTGACATGATCAAGATCCCGTTTCAATCTCGCTCTCGCATAAACGTTCCAACTCAGAAAAATGCAAATGCGCATGCCTGAGGTAACTAGGATACTGGGATGTCCAGGTGGATCTAAATAGCTGCTCACGATATGACAGATTACGATAACTATATTTTCTGTACATTTTCGATGTATTAGATTTTTTCACTATGAATGCGGTAATACATGTTTTATTGTTTTATTACAAACCGCCTATGTCATGTCAGAAGGTAGTAGCATCAGTCTCGCTATCTACGAGACGAGACTTGAATGGGATCTTGGCATGATGTCACCATACAGTACTATGTGCGTTGCAAACCCCAATTAATGTACCTCTGGTCTTATTGTATCTTTGGTGTTCTTAGATCCAATAATCTAAATGTGATTCCGAGTCCAGTGAAGCCTGATAGGCACATGGCAGCAAATAAGGCTAGATTTGCTGAAATGCATTAGATCTAAGATGGGAAACAGTCATCAAAATATTTCATATTGTAAATAGCAGGAAGTCAAATACTGTAAAATATTTTATTTTCGCTTGGAATTAATTTTTAAGCAATTAGTCTTCAAAACTATGGATGTTCTACACAAATTGTGCAAAATTTAATTCAATTCACCCTTTTTTGCATTGGTATATGCAACTTCAAAACTTCAAAATCAGATGAACTGCCAAATCTTACCATGGGACTAAAACTGGTAGATTGACAAATTTTGTTATTTAATTTTTTTGTTTAAAATTTTTTTTTTGTCATATATATATATATATTTATTCAGTACCATTGGCCATAGGCCATAATGTACACACTTAAATGTAACACAAATAAATAAATAGATCGTTTGACAAGAATAATCACTGCTACTGCTTGTCTGAATATTACAAACTTATACTTCACCTATGAATACCAAATTAAATTTATATTTCAGTTA